CCCCCCCCAAAAAAAGCAAAATTCCTATTGCTCTCTCTGTTTGGAACAGCTGGTGTTAACCTGTCTTCTATCTTGTTGTACTAACCTTAGTTCAGATATCTCTGGCTGCAACAGCTCTCCTCTTTTCAACACATGCATGAGCGAGCGCATGGCTGATCTCACCCCCTCCCCTACCTTCTCGAACCCCGACTCCGACATCACCGAGCCTGCTGACGAGCAGCACCAGGGGCAGGAGGAGGAGGAGGAGGAGGAGGAGGCGGAGGACCTGGAGGAAGACATCTTTCCGGAGTGCCCGCTGTGTGATGGCCGGGATCCGTTTTACGACCGCTCCCCCCTGTTCAGTTTAGTAGGAAGGTTGGTGAGGTTTTAGGAGAGCATGCCGGGAAGGAACTAGCTCTTTCGCATGAGGGAACTGCTTTCGGACACTACTCCCACCTCCTGGGTGTCCCGGAGGCACAGGGGGTGGCCGGCCGGCCGGGATTGCTGTGGGGCAATCTGGTGGGGCGGTGAAGTGCCCACTGAGGTAGGGCTGTGATGAGCACAGTGTCGGTAGGGGATAGCGGGGGAAGGCGGACGGCGCCAGCTACACTGGAGACCCTTTAGGCAGGTCCCTCTTTGGGGCAGCCCCTGAGGAGGGGAGCTCTGCTGTGTCTGGCACCAAAGGAGCTGCATAGGGGTCTCAGTCGTGGGCATTTCTGTCCCAGGGAGGGCCACCTCCTACCCAGCTTGGGGTGACCCCTGTGGTGCTGCTGGTTGGGGACACGCAGGCACTTGGAAGCTGCACATGCCTCTGGCACTGGCTTGGCTGTCCTGGCTGCGTTGGTCAGCGTGAGCCCCTCCAGATGTTGAGGCTTGGATGTCCCCAGGCGGTCGGGGGGACGAAGCCAAGGGGAGTGAGGAAAGAGCCAGGCTCAGGAGAGAGAGGAGGGCTCTGCAAAAAGCAGCATTTTCTCTCACCGCCTGTACCCAGTGCTTAGCTTGGGGCCGTCCTTGCCAGCTTGGCACAGGAAATGTTCAGGGAAGTCACGGGGACCCAGGTGCGGGCTCCAACTCCTCCTCAGCTCCAGCAGAGGACAAGAGCTTTGATTTTTCATACCAGTTGGCCAGGAGACCCTCCTGGGCTCCATCAGTCGTGGCCGGGAGAAACCCACCAGCCACTGTGAAACCGGCTGTGCTGCCAAACCCAGTTGCAATCTGCCCATCCCCAAAATGGGATGCAGTGCTGCCAGATCTGCTCCAGGCTTTTCACAAGGGGATGTGTGCCCAGAGCTGGTCCTGGAGCCTCTGCCCCAGGCAGGAGCCGGAGCTGCTCATGGCAGTGAACCTCTCCATGCTAGGGCTGCCCTGACTCAGGTGGAGCTGGAGCTGGTCTTCCTCGATGTGCTAAAGTCAGGCTTCTCCCTGCCAGTCTGGGTGCAGGCAGCGAGGTGGGGAGGAGGGGGACCAGCACAGGCAGCGAGGGTGGAGGTGGGATAAGAGTCCTGCAGCCTCAGTCCGAAAGAGCTGGGTTCTTCCCCCCCTTTTTTTTTTCCTTTTTTCCTTATTTAAAAAAAACCAAACAAACCAAATGTCAAAAAAACCCCAAAACTCTCAGCGGCACCTCAAAAAAAAACAAGGCCCTGCAGCAGCAGCCCCGCTCTGTGCTGGGGGCATGTTCCCTGGAGCTCGGCACCTTCCAACTTCTTTGAGTCTGCCCTGGGTTTGGCTCCCCATGCAGCAACTCCGCCAGCCACATTTCTTGTGAAGTGTGCTTGGATTGGTTTATGATTGGATCCTTGTCTTTGATTTTTTTTTTTTTTCCCCCTTTCTTTCTTTTTTGTCTTTTAGGTTTTTTTTTTTTCCTTGTGGGTTTTTTTCCTTTTTTTTTTTTTTTTTTAGCTGCTGGCTCTCTCTCTCCAAAGCTTTAGCGAAAATTGGGGTTATTTCACTTCCGTCTTCCTTTGGAAAGGCTTTTCTTTGGTCTGAGCATGCCATCTTTGCACCTCACCAATCTTGTGGTTAGTGTCCCTGCCCTCCTTCCTCTAGTGACACACTTGTCCCCCTCCTCCCCCCCGCACCTTTCCTTCCCTCTTCACCCCCTTGGCTTCAACACCAGCTGCCCTGTGATTTCGGGTGGGTGGATGCACTTGGATCCCTGTGCTTTCAAGACCTCCCTGTGGTCGCAGGGCTCTGCCCCAGGCCTGTGGTCCCACCGGGAAGCCTTGGCATGGTCCACTTGTCCCTGGTGGTCTCCAAAAAGAGATGAGCCTGGCAGAAGACAGTGATGGGGCATCACCTTTGCTACCACAACTTGAGTCCTTGGAGATGCTTTGGGTGGAAAAAGCCTCAAGCAGCGGTTGGAGGCCAATGGGAGTCACCAGAGCAGGGGGAAACTCTGGACTTCGGGGCTCAGGCTGCAAGTGCAGGGCTGGGGCCTCCTGCAAGAGCCCCCTGGGCACATTCAGGTGCTGTTGGGTGTCTGCAAAGACACCTGCAAGCTTGGGACATTGTGAGCAGCACCGCTGGCCGCCTGGAGATGCAACCCTCGTGGGAGCCTCCTGAAGCAGAAATGTCCCAGCTGGCCCCAGCACCATCTGGCCTCACGACACCCAAAGATGCTGCATGTCAAGACACCAGTGGGCACCCTGGGGAGGCGCGCTGGGTACCCTGCATCCTGTTTTGCTGGCAGTGGTGCTGCCTCACAGGCAAGGGTAGTTTGCATCTCTCGGCGGGGAGCTCAGTGCCAAAGGCTGTGGAGGTGACTTGTCGCTGCTGAGGGCATGGCACGCCGCCATCGCCAGAGTGCCAGGAGAACCATCGAATGGCAAGCTGGCCGGCAGCAAAGTTGAGGAAGGCAGCAAGAGGAGGCAAAATGCTTGAGAAACGGGGAGCTGCAGCCTGGCAGGAGGTGCCAGCAGAGACGCAGTGCAGCCATCATGTAGAACCCTGGTGCATCACCTTGCTGCAGTAGTGGCAGTGACCTGGATGCTGCGGAGGACAGCAGGGAGGCTCAGACCTGATGCACGGGGAGTGGGCAGCTCCTTCCTTGCCCACAGGGAGAAGCCAGCCATGCTATCCCTGTGACATGCTGGCGGGCAGCCCGGGACCCCAAAGCCATGCGTGTAAAGGGATGGCGCGACACATGCTGCTGATGCCACCAGCCACACCGTGCAGCCTCCCTCCCAGTCGGGCAAAGGCCACCTGCAGCCACCAGTGGTCCTGCGACACCGTGGGCAGAACCAGGGCCAGAACCCCCCCGGCAGGTTCATCTCTGGAGGATTCTGGCCTCCAGTCAGGACCTCCTTCTCTCCCCTACTTTGCTCCTGCCGGCCTCTCCCTCCCTTCCCCCCCGCCTTGCCCCTGTT